CTCCTGTGAGGGTTAACTGCTGCAGGAAACCTGGCTGAGGGTCGCTGGGGGTTCTGGGAACTGGCTGGGGGGCGGCAGGTTTAGCGTCAGGGGTCTTCTCTTGATGGGAAAAGATCACCACATCTTTATTCATGGAGCGGTAACCTTTCGGCTGTCAGCAGAATGTTCTAACTGTTGAGCTCCCAGAATTTCTTTTCCAGGAAGACAACAGCCTTCAGAATGCTGTGGAGCAACTCTGCCTTGTGCCACGGGGCTGGCACGAGCTGGGACAGAGTCCTCAGCAACACATTTTGATTGTCCTGCAAGGGAACGTGTCCCAGGCCTGCTTCTGAGGCGCCTGACCTGCCTCTCACATGCCTCTTCTCCAGCTCTGCACCGCGTGGCCAGGACGTGACTGCCCCAGGGGCTGGCGCCGTGAACTAAGCCCAGGGAGGCCACGAGTGGCCAAGGTCACGGCTGGGGCAGCTCTGAGCCCTGTTCCCCGGGTCCCCAGACCTGCCTGGCCCTCTAAGAACAGCAAGATGAGGAAGAGGGCTGGATCGCTGAGGAAACCGCACAAATAAAAACTCCAGGCTGGGCTCAGAGGACAAGCTGTTCCTAAGGCCCTGGCCCGACTTGGCAGGCGGCAGAGGGCAGGGAGCGGTCAACAGTGTGGCCTGGCAGGGCTGGACGGGGCCCCGCCGCTGGGCAGGGCGGGGACTTGGCGTGGGACTCGGCTTCGCAGCCACAGTTGAGGTCTGGGAGCAGTGAAGCCGCAGGGTGGCCGAGGATGGCAGGAAGGACAGCTGAGACAGCCCTCACTCATGCCTTCTCTTCACACAAACACAGCCCACACCAGCTGAGGGGACAGGGCCGTCTAGTCACATCCCCACCCCAGAGGGTGGGGTGAAGGTTCCTCCAGTATGATGTGGCCACACGGAAAGATCAGCTGCTGGATGGCCAGTCCTATGCCACGGCGTGGACGGTCCACGCTGCTGACCTGCTCCTGAAGCCCCCCAGCCAGTCCAGAGAGTCGATTCCGACTCATAAAAAACTGGCAAGCAGAATGGAAAAGTCCTACAGCGTTTTCCAAGTTTCAAAGTGGTATGGAAGCTGGCTACTTTCTCCTTCTCCTGCAAAGTGTGTGGGGAGTTCGAACCGTGAACCTTGAGCTTAACAACCTAACACTGAAGCCACTGCACCACCCAAGACAGCAGTAACAGCAAACAAAAGACTAGGTAACTTTGCCTCTACCCATGAGACCCAGGCAGGTAAATACATATAGAGCGACTGAGTTGGTGGTTGTCTAAAACCCTAGCTGTAAAAACCCTCCAAGGACCTCTCCAAAGCGCCAAAAAGCAGTGATGGCAGTTTAAAGACTAAGGTAGAGCTGCTGCAAGCTGCTCTTCTCATCACTTGTTATAAAAGTTGGATGATGACTAAGGATGGTGGAAGGATAATTGAGGACATTGAACTGTGGTGTTGAAGAACACTGAATATCCCATGGACGGTCAAAAGAACAGATACGTCTTGGAGAAAAACAAACCAGGCTGCTCCTTGGAGGCTTGGTTACGCTTCACTTCACTTTGGGAATATTGTTAGAAAGGACTTGTCTTTGGAAAAGGACAAGAAAGGTGGAAGGTCAGTGGGAGAGAGGAAGACCTCATCAAGCTGGTGGACAGTGGCCATAACGATGGGCTCGTGTGTCAGAAATGGGAGGACGGCGCAGGAGAGATGGGGTTCAGATTGTTCACAGGGCTGCAGGAGTCGTAGTCGAGGGCCCAGGGGTGAAGGTAAAGCAACGGTTAAGAACTGTTGTTATGTGCCGTCGAGTCGCTTGCAACTCACAGCGACACTATGTACAACAGCCCTAAACTCTGCTCTGTCCTGTGCCAATCTCACTGTCTCTGACACTCCCATCCCGATTACCCCAGTCACTGAATCAATCCACCTCATAGAGGCCCTTCCCCTCCTGCACTGTCCCTCTACCCTCCCAAGCATGATGTCCCTCTCTAGCCGATTCTAGTCCAGTAGCTGATGTGCAGGTGATAGCTGGGCAACGTCCTCCCATGGACTTGACAGCCTCTGAATGCACACTCGAGGGTCAGCTACAACAGCGCTTGGGGAGAGGAAAGGGGGGTGTAACTGCTGATGGGATCAGGGCCTCTATCAGTTAATGGCAATGTTCTAGGAAGAGTGGTGACTACATGACACAGAATGCATCAAATACCTCTGAAATGGTCATGCTGAAAAGGGGGGGCCGTGGCAAGCACAGTTACTCTGGTGGTATGGTCTGTGGGGTTGGCACTGCTGATCATAAGGCCACATCTTTCTGGTGGTTTGAACCCAGTGACTCCTCAAAATAAGTATGGTCACCCTTACACCCCCGTGACATCCCTGTGGAGGTAGGTCCCAAAACCACAGCAATTTGGATTTTTAAGGCACAAAAATTCAACCTCAATGAAGCTATTTCTAATTCTTATGGTATTCCCCACTGTTCTTGGGGTGCAGCCTCATGTTGTGGGGCCTGTCCCCCCAGCCCTCTGCCTTCCTCACCCTCTCCTGTTCTGCTCACTGGGCATCACCTGGATCCCCGCAGCCTGCACGCCCTCCTGCCCCCTAAGAGCAGAACTAGTCCTTGCTCTCCTCGTCCAACTTGTATTCCCCGCTTGAAACCTCTTGAGGACCTCAGAGCCCTTCTGATGGGTGAGCAGATGGAGGCACACAGGAGGAGGTTGAGCCAGTCTGACCAATGCCCTCCATGCCGGGACGCAGGACCAGCACACAGGAGGAGGTTGGGCCTGAGTCTGACCAATCCCCTCTGCTCCAGAACACAAGACCAGCCAGCCCTGGGCTCTGGCTCTTCCTCTGCAGAGAGGTTGGCATACCCCAGAGCCCAAGGGGCTGTTTGCCGGCAACATCCCAGGTAAGCTACACCACCAGCAGCACTTCAAAGACCTTGTCCTTCTCTTTGACCTGGACAGATGGGCGCTGCCACAGGCCCTCCAAGGCCAGCCTTGGACCATCTTGTGGGCAGGGGCACCATGCTGGAAGCCCAAGCCCCAGGTAGAGGCCTGACTCCAGGCTCCTTCCAGGTGACCTTGGCCATGTCTTCCCAAGGACAGTCACCTCCAAGCCACCAGAAGAAGTTCAAGGCAACAACACACAGCAGGTCTTTTTATGACTTTTATTAAATCCTTACAAAACAGAATACAAAACTCTGGCTTCGACAGTTGGTGTAAAAGGAAAAGTTTCGAGCTGTCAGTTCACCTGGTGCAATGCAGTTAAAGTGCTTGGATGTTTTTCCCCACATTAAAAAAAGTCTGAAAAAATTTTCTTTCAACATCTGGACGTTGGAAGGCTGTACCCCTCGCCCGCTTTCACAGTACGAGCTCAGAGCCACCCGCCTCAGGCGGAGGGGACCATGTTTCATTCTGGTTACAAAAATGCAGGAATCACTGGTGGTGGAGAAATGGCGGGGCTTGGAGGGTGGGCAGCCTGTACCCCACCCCCACCAGGAAGCGCAACAGGACATCTTTGGAAAAACCAGCCCACAGCTCCCGAGTCAGCGGAGAGCCAGCAGGGAGAGGGCGATAGCCCCCCGCTGGCCACCGAGATGGTGCCGATCATTCCAGACTTGGGAAGAGAAGGGGACCCCGGGAAAGGGGGCCTAGACCCCGAGTCTCTCGCCTGTGGCTCCAACATTCAAGTATTCTTCAAGAACAGGGAAGGGAGGGGTCCACTGATGTTTTAAAAAACCTAACTAAACACGAGGAGCAAGCCCGACTAAGCCGGGCTGTCCCCGCCCTGAGCTGACTGGGGGGCTAGGCCGTCCTGGTGGGGGCTGGGCACTTGGCCGGGAGGGGGGCCCCTCTCCCAGCCGCCGCCCCCTCCCTGACTGGCGACCCCGTGTGCACGGAGAAGCAGCGCATATTGCATAGTATTTCACCGCCCGGAAGGGGATGGGGTGTGCTGGGAGGGGGCTAGCAGAGACCACGCGCTGCCCGGCGGGTCCTGGGTGCCATAGGGGCACAGGCTGGACAGCAGCAATCGGCATCCCCTGCCCGTGAGGATACAGACCACGGATGGAAACCGGAGCTGGCCCAGCTCCCAGGTCGGCAGGTCTGGTCGGGCATGGTCAGGAGGCCCGCGACAGAACCCTGGTGCCCAGGACCCTACAGGGCCTGCCTGGCACCCATGCAGCTCATGCTGCTGCGATGCCCACTCCCGAGCCCGCAGATTAGCGCAGTTCGGGCTACCTGGACAGGGGTGGGGTCAGCAGGTGAGTGGCCAGCAGCAGCTGCATCTTAAGGTCAAGGGCAGAGGCCGGGTCTGGCCTCCACAGTCCTGAAGGAAGCTCTGGATTGTTGATTCCCATGGGGACACAGGAACGGAAGGGGTAGGGCCACTGACGGTGGAAGGAGGGGGACGCTAGGATAAGGGAGTTGGGGGTGGGGAAACCCAGTGGGTAGTGTGCACCCAGGCCCTCCAGCCCCGCAGAGGGGGACCCCCTGGCCCGACAAAGCCGCTGAGAGGATATGGGGTCATGGGGGAGATGCTGCAGCCATCCACCTGAAAATCTGGTATCAATGGGAGAGGGAGAGGTCCCAGGGATGGGACAGGGGCGTCGCTTGGCCACCTGGGCTGCCCTCCCCTGCAGGCGGGGCAGGGCTCTCCTGAGGTTGGGGGATGGCAGGTGACCTTAGCAAGGGGCTGGTGGGGCGTTCACAGTACAGGCGGGGGTATGGGGGTGTAGGGAGAGGAAACCAGGCAACCACACTCCCCGAGTCCCTGGGTGCTTGCTTTTGCTTGTAATACCATTAAAAATAGGGAGAAGAGGGGGAAGGCAGGTGAGGGGGAAAAAAAGGGGGGGGAACCCAACAGCAAAACCTTATATAGAAAACACCACCCCCAGCTGAGCTCAGGGCTTAGGACACCAGCCCCGCCACCAGCCGTGAAAATAGCTTAAAAAAACTGTCAATCTAGAGGGGCAGGGCTATGTACAGGGGAGGCCGTGGAGCTCAAGCCCGCTCGCCCACCAGGACCATGGGCGCTGCTCCCCGGGACAGGCTGGCCCTCTGGCGTCGCTGGGCCAGCTGCGACTGGGTAGGCGGTGACAGCTGTAGGCAGCGTGAGGTAGCTTGGATGAGGACGGGCATGCCAGGCCCCGCCTCGCCATCCGCGTCTGAGTCCTCCTCGCGTAGGGCCAGCTGCCTGTTCATGGCAATGGCCTCGGCTGCGAAGGATGTCAGGTCTTTGGCACAGCTGTTCCTGAGGGAAGATGGACAAAAGTGGTCACTGGAGAGGCAAGATTAGGACTGGCTGCCCCCCACCACACATCACGAGGTCACTCAAGCCCGTCACCTCTGGTTCCACCCTCCCTCACGGTGGCCTCACCTCTGCAGGACCATGGGCGTGGGCAGCGTGTTCTCTGGAGCGCTCTGCAATGACAAGGACATAGCTGAAGGGGTGGGGTTCAAGGTACCCAGAGAAAGAATCTGGCCTCTGAGTCCAAAAAGTCTACAAGTAGAACGGTGAGTGTCTCCCAGCCTTCAGGTCCCACGGCCCTCTCCCCCAGAGTCCCAGGTCTTCCACCCTCACGCCACACCTCCCAAGTTTCTGTTGACACCTAGTGGAAGCACTGGTAAAACCAGCTCCTACAAGGTCCCTCCTCGGCCTGGCCGTGAAGACTTGGGGCCTCCCCGGGCTAAAACACCCAGATCTCCCAGAAAGCCATGGAGACCACCTCCAGCTGGTCCCCACAGGCCTCCTTTCCCCCATCAACTCCTGCCCTCGAGAGTACATGACTCTAGGCTCCACTGACGTCCCTGGCGGCCTGTTCCCGGAGCTGTGCAGCCCAGAGGCCCCGCTGCGTGACTGTGACAGATCCCCGAAACGCTGCACCTGAGGGTCCCACTGGGCCCTGCTGGAGCACGCAGGCTAAGAACGTGGTTCTCAGGGGTGCTGCCAAGTCTGGCCGCTCAGGGAGCTGTGTCTCCTTCTAGCCTCCACCCGCACTCCCTGGCCACCTCACTTACGTGCCTCAGTCCTCACTCACCTTGCATTCCATCCCTCTGTGCCCCTGCCCTGCACTCACCCCCTGCACCCAGGGGTGCTGCAGGACCTGGGCAGCACTCAGCCTCTGCTTGGCATCACGCACAAGGAGCTTAGAGATGAGGTCTTTGGCGGCGAAGGAGATGTGGGCCCAGTCCTTGTCTGGGAATTCGTACTTGCCCTCTTGGATGCTCTCAAACAGCATGCTCTGGGGGAAACAGGGCAGGGTCAGCGAGGCCTGGCCAGCGTGGGGTACCTTTCCGAGCTGCTGGGGGTGCCCTGGCCTGGGATGCTCAAGACAGAGCAGCAGCACGGGGCTGGCGAGAGATGCCACTCATTTTACGCCACCAACCAGGCTGGGGGGGTGGGGGGGTAAAGTCGGAGTGAAGGGAGGCAGTCAGAACCAGGCTCCCGAGTCCGACAGAGACAGACAGGCATGGCCGGCGAGCCCGATGGACGGACCAGGCCAGCAAATCCAAAGGCCAGGAGGCCCAGCCACCCACCTGTCGGCTTTGGCAGGCAATCGCCATCAACGTGGTCCTCCCACCTCCCCGCACCTGGTCAGAGGCAGCATCCCACCTTCCCACCCCAACTCCTGCTGCATCCCCCCCCCTGCATCCTCCTCCTCCCCTGCAGCATCCCTCCTCCCCTCCCGTACCTGGCAGGCCGGGCAGGACTCTCCGCGGTCCCAGCCGCAGTCGCTGCCACAATGGCCCACGAAGGGCGGGTAGCCGCTGAGCAGGATGTAGAGGATGACGCCCAGGCTCCACAGGTCACAGCGCTTGTCGTAGATGCTGGCCTCCTCGCTGAAGGCCTCCACCACCTCGGGGGCCATGTACTCGGCCGAGCCGCACTGCGGGGAGGGAGAGAACCTCAGCACCCCGACCTCCCTCCTCCCGCCCAGCTCAGCCAATCAGAGCTGCCGCTGGGACAACCCCCCCCGGCCCCGCCCACACCCCCGCCCCGCAGCAGCGCCCGCCAACCCCACCCGAGTCTACCTCGTCCCGCCAATCAGCAGCGGCTGTGGAAGCCCGCCCCACCCTGCTGTAATCTGCCTATCCTGCTCCACCAGTCAGCGGGCCGCTGCCGGGACTCCACCCTGCCCCAAGCGGCTGCCGCCCACACGGCCCATTGGCGGCTGCTGTCGGGGCCCGCCCACCAGCTTCACCCAATCGGCAGCTGTTGCCAGGCGAAAGGTGGCGCTCTGGGCTCCACCAGCCTGTGTCCGTGCCCGGGGGTGCCCACCCTCCGCTGTGTCCGTGCCCGGGGGTGCCCGCCCTCCGCTGTGTCCACGCCCAGGGGTGCCCACCCTCGGGGCGGCCAGCAGTGCTCACCGGGGTGAGGAGCTCCGGCGTGGAGATGGGGGAGCAGTCCCCGTTGAGCTTGATGCCACTGCCCAGGTCAAAGTCACAGATCTTCACGGGGGAGACCTGCAGGGGAAGAACAGAGGGTTGGTGTGGGCTGGAGAGGGCTGGCCCTGGCGTGGGGCTCTCCCAGGTGTGCCCACCCCGAAAGTGCCACACTCTGTGCAGAGGGGGGGGTTACCTGGTTGGGGTGCACACACAGGATGTTTTCGGGCTTGAGGTCCCGGTGGGCCATGCCTGGGGGGGGGAGAAGAGCCGTGTTAGTGGGGAGCTTTGAGGTTTTCCGGGGAGCCTGGGCAGCTGGGCCTTGACACCTACCTTTGTTGTGCAGAAAGTCCAGGGCACTGGCCACGTCCTGCACCACCATGCTGGCCTCCAGCTCGTTGAAGTGCCCACGCTGGTGGATCTGGTTCAGGATGGAGCCTGGGGTGGGAGAAAGGGCACGTGAGAGGGCAAGTGGGACGCCACGGGGGAGGCCCCCCTCACCCCAACAAGGAACCATGCTCCTGGCCACCTCCCACTAGAACCCAGCTGGAAACGCACCTCCACGCATCTTTTCAAACACCAGGCAGAAGCGGTCTTCCTCCTCGAAGAACTCTATCAGTTCCAGAACATTCCTGGGGGAGGAGAGGAAGCAGAAGAGAGCTGTGGCTTCCGGAGGCCCCTGTGGGCTCCCTGACACCTCCCCCCACGTGGGGATCCACCCACAGGACTTGGCTGCATGGGGCTGGCCACACAACAGGTGCTGTGGCATGCAGCAGTACACAGGGGCGCTCAACTCCTGAGTGTTGGATAGTTTGCACCAAAGGCCACATGAGCACCTACCTGTGTCCTTGGCACTGGTACAGCATCTCCACTTCCCGCAATACCCTGCCCCGGCTGTGCCCCGGATGCTTCTCAATGATCTGAAACCAAGAGGGGGACTGGGTCAGCCAGGGTAGAGGTGAAGGTGCGGACAGGTGACTGGCAGAAACATGCCTCCCAGAAAACCTGAAATGCCACCTTCTGTGACAAGGGCCCTGGCTCCAGGCCTAAGCAGGCCTGTGGGGTCCTGGAATATGCCAGAAGTCAAGACTGGGCACTCAGCCTTGGGGTGATGTGGGGCAGGAAGTCAGGCAGCTTTCTGCTCCTAGCCTGGAGAGCTCTGTAAAATGGCCCCTAAGGGCATGGGGTCAGCACCCTCAAAGATGCTGGGACAGCCACCAGGCACACAGCCTGAGGCACACACCAAGGTCACGGGCCTTGGCTGTGGACATGCCATCCTCCTTTGGCCTGTGGGTCCACTCCTAGCCGGCTGTGGTGGACACTTAAGACCAGCGGCCAGTCAAGTCTGCCCAACAGCAGCTCCCCAAGATGGTCCCAGAACCTTGTGTTTCAGGCACCCCCAACTCTCTGCCACTGCACGTCCTCCTGGGAAGCTGCTCTTGGGTCTCAAGACCACGCTGCCCGCAACACCAAGGTCTCAATATGAAAGGAATCTACTTTTCCTGACCATATATGGAGAGCTCTGGGCCCCCTCCTGGGAGAGGCAGGGGCAGTGGTCACATCACCATGAAGGCCCCACAAACCTGTCCCAGGTCCTGTGACTCACGTGCAGATAAATTCAGAGATAAACTCCGTGGTGGCGTCCCCTCGCAGTGGTACTCCTGGACAGAGGTCCAAGCTATGTCCCATCCCCTCCCACGGCCAAGTCACTAAGAACTTCCCACAGGCCCAGGCGCCTGTGCAGTGCAAACTGGACTGTCCCACCCGTCTGTCCTCCAGCCTGTCCTGAGTCCTGAGCAGTCAGTCCAGGTGTCCCCTCAGCCCCTCCTCCAGAAGCCTGTGGGGGTTCTCCTGATCTCGGCAAACACCATATAGGTGGCCCCTGCACTCCCAACAGGGTGACTCAGGGTGCTGACCCCACGAAACTCGGGCTTCTCACCGGCCTATCCCCCTTCCCTAAATCGCCTCCCTAAAGGAGAAACAATATCCGCCCAGCCAGCCAGCAGAGATGGAGGGGCGCTCCAGTCAGGGACCACCCTATCTCTGTGCAGCTCCGAACAGGTTCCGTGGCTGGGATGTGGCAAGCACCATGTGGCCTGGCCATCCACCTGGGCTCTAGGCCAGCCAGCTCACCACCTGGCACTCCCAGCCGGATGCGAGTCCATGGATCACTTGGACACCCAGGCAGGCGGCCTCCAGGGCAGGTGGGCTCGTGAGGCTGTGGCCAGGACTTCGGCAGGGCCCTGGTCAGCTCAGACACGCACCGAGTCCCTGGATACGAGCCCCTGGGACCCCAAGTCTGACGATGTCTCCATCTCAGGACCTGAGTGAGCCTTGCTGGCCACCTGGCCCCAGGGAGCGAGCAGGGCGGCCCTTGTTGTCCCTGACACGCTGCAGGTGGTACTGGGCACTGGTTTCGCCACCTCCCCTGTCCCAGGCCTGTGGTGGCTGCTGCTGCCCATACATGGGGACTCACCTTGACTGCATACTCCTGGTTGGTGATGAGGTTGATACAGGTCTGCACTCGGGCGTGTGCGCCCTCACCTAGCACGTCCTCTTGCAGCTGGTACACATCTAGGGGGAAAGAACACGGTGAGGGCCCAGCTACGCCCAGCCGGAACCCCCCCCCCTCCCTCACAGCCCCCATCTTTGCCTTCAAAGCGTCCTGAGAAGCTGTCGGTGGCCCGGCACCTCCTCTTCTTCTTCTTCCCCCTCTTCTTGGCATTTGGGATGTCGATGGGCTGGCTCGCAGGCACATCTGTGCAGGGACATGGGGAGCCACAGTCAGGAAACCACCCTGCCCACAGCCCCCCAACACACCGTCCACCTGCTCTCCCACATCCGGCCCCCATTTGAGGGTTCCCCCAACACAGCCCCTACCCATTCCCAATTCCTGTCCCTACCTGTGGGGTCCCCTGCCTGGGCTCCTCAACACAGATCCTGCCTATCCCAATCACTGTATCTGCAGCCCCGCCCCCCACCCCCAAAATGCAACCCGTCTCCTCACCTGGGCGGGCTCGGCTGAAGTCGGTGTCCCCATCCTGGTCCTCGAGGAGGACCTGTTCTAGGCAGAAGGCCAGTTCGAAAGGATTCACCCCCTGTAGAGAGATGAGAAACAGCCCTCAGCGCTCAGTCACACACGTGCCCACTGATAACACGGCACGGCCTCTGGGCGGAGGGGCCCCACTGCCCTGTCCAACCCTAGGGCCTCCCAGCCTGCACAGGCAGGGCTGCAGCCGGTCACTGCCAGGGGTTCTGGCCAGGGTGCCTGTGGAGACACCTGTGGCCGTCACAAACAGAAATGTGTCACTGGAACTGAGTAAGCCAAGCCGGACACGCGGCCCCACAGCCTGCACGGGGAGTTACGGGGCCTGAACACCGGCAGGGAGGCCTGGATGGTGTAAGCACGCTCCACTGAAGACCAAAAGGCTCCAGGTTCAAAGCCACCTAGAGCCATCACAGCAGCAAAGTCTGGCGATCTACCTGTGAAAACTCAACCCAGAGAAGCCTGTGGAAGTCAGTGAGGATACGAGGGCACTGCTGCACCCCACGGTGAGGATACACGGGTGCTGCGGCACCCCACAGTAAGCACACTGTCCTAACACTGCTGCACCCCACAGTGAGGATACACAGGTGCTGAGGCACCCCCATAGTAAGGATACACGGGTGTTGGGACACCCCGCGGTGAGCACACTATCCTAACACGGCTGCACCCCACAGTGAGGATACACAGGTGCGGCTGCACCCCGCGGTGAGGACACGTGGGTGCTGAGGTACCCTGTGGTGCGGGAACACTATCCTAACACTGCTGCACCCCACTGTGAGGACAGGTGGGTGCTGCTGCACCCCGCGGTATGGACACGCTATGCTATGCTGACAGAGACACCCTGCAACGTGCATATACGGGCACTGCAACACCCTGCAGTACAGACAGGGTCCCAGATACTAAGATCCTAAGGTCAGACTCCTCAGGACAGAAGTGCCGCCTGCGATGACCCTGGAGTAGTAGGTCTGTCTGCAGGGCCGGAGGAACAGGCCCCAACGCCGCTTTCATTGGCTCCCCCCGCGTGGCTGCCGCGGATCCTGACCTCACCATCAAAGGCTGGCTGGCAGGCAGGAGGTGACTCACTGGTGGCAGAGGGCAGGGCTCCAAGCTGGCCACTTTCTCACGCCCTACTCAAGGCAGCTGGGCCTCACCCCAGAGACCTGGGCAAGCCCCTGGGCCTCAGTTTCCCCACTGGCATCCTGACCGATGCTGCTCTGTGCCCCTCTTCCTAAGGCAGGTGGTAGATACAGAGCGTCACGCACCCTTGGAGGCCCCCTGGATCCAGGTCACACCTGGCTTGAGTAGTGCCACCTGCTCGGTAGCCAGCTCTGTGCCCACATGCTCCTCATCTGTGCCCCCCAGGCCCAGCTCACCCTCCCTTCCAGCCCCAGGCCCCACAGGGGGGTGAGGACCAGGGCAGCCAGGGCTCAAGCAGCCTCAGGGCCAAAGTAAAGGACTACCTGAAATAGCCCATGTTTGCAGACCCTCGAGTGAGGATGCCGGAACCTTAAATTAGGTGAGGCCCGGCCGGTTCCTTAGGAGTCAGAGGCTGGTTCAGCTCACTGGCCAGGCAGGCTGTGTTCTGTCAAGTTGGAACCGACTCAGAGCTGAGCCTCCAGCGGGTTTTCAGAGGCAGTAAAATCACACAGGAGATCCGAAGCACGTGCCTTTGGGCTGGCAGCTCCACTTAGCCGCCAGAGCTCCCTGGTCAGACAGAAGTATCGGTCACTTCAGGGGTGGCTGTGCGTCTGGGGCCTCCAGATGACGGTTCTGGTTGTCACCAGCAAACAGGCACCAACCACTCTGCCTGCTTCAAATTCCTATACCTGTCCTCCCAGGTGACGGGCCCCATAGCAGGAGGGCCTGAGGATCCAGGACTTGGACCAGGTGGGTGGAGTCCTAGGTGGAGTTCAGAGAAACCAGGGGGGGCCCTCCCACCTGCCTGTCCCCCACAAAGAGCTGCCAGGGCGAGCCCAGGCTGGGCACAGCGGAGGAGGCATTGCTGCAGCCACCTGCCCTGTTCTACAGGGGACCTGGTTCCCACAGGGCCCGGCCAACACTGAGCGGCCAGGCCAGGGAGCAAGGCCAATGAGCCCTCTGCTAAGGCCCGTCTAAAATGCCGGGTGTCTGACTCCACCTGGGAGGAGGTCTCCTGGCCCCCCAGCCAAGCGGACTTCCAGGAGAGAGGGGAACCAGCCTGTGGCTGGTGAGTGCAACCTCAGACTGTTCCCCAACCAGTATATGTTGAGGGCCACCGCACAAAGGTCCTGCCCTTCACCCCACTTACCCCTGCCTGCTCTCTGCTCTACACTCTAGCTCAGAGGAATTAGGTACAGCCAGCCACCAAGGCCAAGGATCAGCTGTGCCCAGCGATGCCAGCTCCCAGGTCATGCAGATCCAGGAAGCATGGGTACATGGCCAGTCCTCCCTGACCTCTACTTTCCCCTCCACGAAGGGCAGGCAGGCAATCACAAGACAAGAGCTATGTCCCCTGGGTGCCATGGGTCAGGGGCCCAGAGGGGCTCCCCAAGCAGAGCCTGAACTCCCCCTAGCAGCCGACCAGCTCAGCTGAGGTGTGGGTGGCCCCGCCCTGGCCTGGCAGCCGCCCAGAGTCAGCAGGCCTTGGCAGGAGGCAGCTGGAACCATCCAGAAGTGGTTTGCTTTGGCAGCAGTGCTGGGCCCGCGCGGTGACCCTGTCGCTGCTTCCGCCCTGCCCCTGAAGGGGACAGACCACACATAAACACAGCCCCGGCCCCCTCTCCTCTCCACTGGGCAGCGGCTCCCTGCCATTGCATAACCGGCGCACGGGCTGGTGCAGGGCCACTGACATCACGCGTCCCCCGGGCCAGCTCCTGGGGCCCCTGGCCTGGCACCTGCCCGCCCCCCCCATAACCTGATCGTCTGCCACCCAGCCTCGAAGCAGCAGCCAGCAGCAGCCTCGGAAACTTCCCGCTCAGACAGGAAACGGCACTGGGGCGTGAGGCGTCTGCGAGGTGGCAGGCTGCGGGACACCCCCTCACAGCTTCCCCAAGGGCCCTGGGCGCTTCTCTCGCAGAGGGGGGACGCGGGGCCGAGACCACCGCCTCCTGAGCCCACCTGGAGCGCACAGCCGCGGGGGGCGGTTGGCAGGGGGGCCCCAGACAGAAGTCCCAGGGGCTCATTCTGGGATTCCCGGGGTGGGGGCTGGGGTACAGCCCCTGGCAGGGCAGCGAGGATAGGGGCCCCTAGTTCTGCTGGGCTCTCTTAAGGACTCCTCCCAGCGCGGTGGGGAGGGTGTCACTGGGCATCAGCTGGCAGGGGGGCACCCAGGACCCAGCAGGGAGTTTCCCGAGGAGGGGCCTCCCCACGTTCCCGAGGGCGATCGGGGCGTGGAAACCCGGCTGGGACTCGCAGGGGCCCCCCCAGCCAGAGGCCCCCCTCCAGCCGGGGGCTCTCGGAGGACGCACCCGACGCCAGCAGCACCAGCCTGGGGCTTGAAGGGACGAAGCACCAGCCGGGCGTCCCGGGTCCCGGGGGCGGACCCGGGCCAGAACCCGCACGGGCGCTGGGGACGATGGGCGCCCGCCGGGCCCCGGAGGCTCCAGCGGGGCCCCAACTCGGCGACCGGTCGACCCGCCCCCCACCCCAACGCGCGCGGGCCTTACCTTGTACGAGCGGCGGAAGCTCTCCGTCTCGGCGGTTTTCTTCTGCACCATCTTTCGTCCGGACCCCGCCAGCGGGGAACGAGCGCAGGCGGCCTGGCAGGCGGGAGGCGGCGGGGACTAGAGCCTGCAGGCGGGCGGCGGACAAAGGCGCCGTGAGCGGTCGGCCCCGGGGATCCCGGAGGAGGCCGAGGGGTGCCCGCGCCGAGCAGGAGGCCGGGGGTCGCACTCACCGGGGTCGGGGTCGCGCCGGGGCTACAGTACTGCCGCCGGCGCCCGAAGTCGCGCAGCTCAGACCCAGCTCCGCGGACCTCGCGGTGAACAGCACCGCCAATGCAGCCACCGCGGACTCCTCTTCTGAGCCGCGCCGACGAGAGGAGCAAGCGTGCCACGGCCGCCGCCGCTTTTATAGGCCAGGCGCCGTATGGCCGTGGCCACGCCCCGCCGCCGGCCACGCCCCCGCGAGCTCGGGGGTGGGGCGAGGGTGGGCTCCTCGGCGCGCCCCAGTGCCGCTGCGTGGCGCGATCTTCGGGGCGGGGCGTGTGCCTCCGGGAGCGACTGCGGCTGCGCAGAGTGGGCGAAGGAGTTACGCGAGCGCTTCGTGGCACCTAATGCGGTTGCGTAGTGAGGGCTCGAGGCGGGGGTGTGGAGGCTCCGCGGAGGGTCCTGTGCGGCTGCGCAGTGTAGCAGGTATTAAGGCTGCGCTCATAGGGTGCGCAGCTGTTTGATGGTCCGCTGGTTGCCAAACTGCATGTCCAAAGATAGGAGGGTTCTGGGCATCGGTATTTCTGGGGCAGCCTGAAACTCAGAAACTCACAAGACCCACCCAGTTAGTTCCAACACGGGGAGCCACTCCCTGGAACACGGTGACTCCATTGGAGGATGCCCTTCCTATAAACTCTCCCACGTTATTTTCTCAGTTTGTTTATTCCGGTGAAAAGCCGTATCACATAAAATTAGCATTCGAAAGTGTGCAATTTAAATGCCATTTGGTACATTTTCAACGCGCTACCATCACCCTCGGGCCAGGTTCAAATTGTCTTCCTGTCAAACATTCTTCTAGGTGGTATAGCACTGGTCTGTGCGTTGCTGTACAGAGGTAACTCGTGGTTGCTGTGATGCTGAAGCCTGTGACAGTGATGTGCCAATCGTGGTAATGGGCACCCATGGTGGACAGTGTTGGCTGGAGCTTCCCGACTAAAAAAGCCTGGAAGCAGGAGCGGCATCCACTTCCAAAATGGCTTGCCTCTGGAAACTATGCACGAACAGTGCTCAGGCTGTTCGTTCATAGGGTCGCATTAAACATCGATGGCATTAAACAACAACAACAACCATCACCACTTTTCAAGTCGCAAAATATCTCCCCACAGAAAAGCCAAAGTTTGGACCACTGGGATACGGGATCACCTGTAGTACCCCTTAGACTCCAGCCCCACAGCCTCCTAAGAAGGTGTGCCGGGGTAACTGCCCTGAGGGAGGTCCCCCTCACTTTACCCTGGGTGGTCAGAGGCATACCTGGGTGAACTGCCATCTGCAGGTGTGCCTGATAAGGTCATGCCTGGTCCCACTGGAATGCTGCCCCACAAGGCGTGTGAATCCCAGGAGCACAAGACTTTGGAATTCTGCTTGAATGGTAGCATCTAGTCCCATTGACCAAATCCTCCGTCGTGAAACTGATGCTGCAGCGACCCTCTTGCCATCTTCAGAGGGCATGTCACCAAGAGAGACGATTCCTTGGAAAAGGACATCGTGTTTGGAATGGTGTAACTTAGGTGAAAGAGAGGAATACCATTTACAAGATGGATTGCGGTGATAGCAGCAAAGAGCTCAAGTTATGTCCTAAACTATGAGAATGGCCCTGGACAGGACAGGTCACTCACTGTGAGTCCTACTCAACTCGATGGTACCAAACATCAACACGTCTTAACGGATGGAGACAGCCTCATCCTTTTGCCACAGAGCAGCTGGCTGGATTTTGTACCAGTGACTTTTCTGTTGCAGCTCAACACAAAATGCAAAATGCCCCTAGGACTCCTTACTCCTCACAGATAAGTGCATGTCGGTGCATAGGATTACCTCGGCCATTTTCCAGTATTCCACTGTTGTGAACTGACACATGACAATAGGACTCTCTCTAGGGTCCCAGGGCCTAGCACAGGGGACTTGGACCTGCGACCCAGGACCCAGGATCTGGCTGCTGGAGTGACTCATCTACTTCCCAGCTGCCTGTACCTGCTGACCATGAGAGGCTCTGCCCACTCAGGTGAGGTCTGATTCAGGGCTTGATCCCAAAGCCTGAAGCCAGTCTATCCTGGCCCTGCTGGAAGGACTGGCTTCATCCTTACTGAACTGTGGGCCTTCCAGAGCCTGGGGTTTTCAGGGGTGAAGGACTGAAGAGGAAGAGAGCAGCTCCAGACTCTGGTCTGGGGTCCATCCGTGTGGAGTTTGTCTCCCTCTGAACTGCTCACGGCAGATCTAAGCTGGTCCTTTTCTGGGGTGGCCTGTGAGATGCTGAGCAGAATCCCTGCTGTCCACCTGCCCCTCAGTCATAACACCCACATATGTCCCTGGACTTCAGGCTGTGTCCTTGGGAAGATAGGCTGGCAGAATTATGTTGGGTGTTGAGATTCAGCGCTTCCATCCCCAGGTCCCTTGTCCCCATCCCCCATCCCTTTGAACCCCCAACCACGTGTTGGGCTGGAGAGGGCAGGGCAGGGCCTCGGGGAGCCACAGTTGGGGAAGGTGGGGAGGTCCCTGTTTGCTGTGAGCAGGGCCTGCTGGGATCTGTCCACACCCGTCCTTAGCATGTACAATGCCTGCCAGACACATAGGGGTAATTCCCTGCGCGCGCATATGTGCGTCTGCCCCCCTGAATGCCCGTGCCTTCAGCCCTGCCCTGCAGAGTGCTGGCCGCCAGGCCCAGAGCTGGATTCCTGGAACTGTCCTTAGGGAGGCGGCTCTTGTTTACCAGCTAGTGGAGGCGCTAGACAAGGGCAGGCAGAGGGAAGTCAGGGGGGAAGCTGGAGAGCCTCCTCGTGCCTGCCTCCCCTGGCCCCTCCCCTCTCCAGGTCAGGAAATCAGTGCCCAGGCCCTGCTCCCTGGCCGTGGTGCTCACCTGGGCCTGCTCCCTCTTCCTTCCAGAGTGCAGTCCTGGCAGCAGGAGCAGGTCCAGCCCAGACAAAGGGTAGACACAGCCTGAGCGCTGGCTTGGGGTGCCTGGTTCAGGAGAAAGCTAAGTGAGGCTGACCTCCACCCGACCCAGGGCCCCAGAGGAGACAGCTAGCCTTGAGAAGGGGGTGCAGAATTTCCCGGGGGGGGGGGCGGGCACTGAGTTACCTCAGAAGAAGAAGGGCTCTCATATGCTGGCCCATGCTAAAGCAAACCGGAAAGGAGGGACCCCTAATATTCTGGTCCATCCACCATTCCCTCTCACCACTGGGCTTCCACAGGCCCCCTCTGGACACTCACTCCCAGAGTACACAGTGCCTCCATTCCAGCACCTTCCTTATCCCCATATGTCCCCACCCCTACTTGTATGGAATTAGCCAGGCTGGACCTGGAGGCCGTGCTCTGTGTCTAGTGTCCCCACTCAGGCACTGAGTCCTTTGCAAGGCCTGAGTCTGCACTTGATGGTTTCAAACAGGTCAAGTTCATGTTCACCCTGGAAGTTTAGCTTAGCTGGACCCTCAGGGCCAGGATGCCTGGCTGCTGAAAGGGACCTGGGCAAGTGAGAGAGCTACCACACACACAAAGAATTTTCGTCATAAGCTTATCCTTTGCAGAAGTGTGTCCCAAACAATTGTTTATCTAGAAATTCAATTGAACCATGCATCTTGGCTTTTGCCTGGAAACCCTATTAAAAAACCTGGAAGTCTATTGTTAGCTCTTTGTTTTGATGTTTAGCAACCTTCCTTTGGGTTTCTGACACTCAAGATCGAGGGACAGAGCTATGACACCCCATCTTTCTGCTTCAGAGTGACTGGAGGATTTGAACGGTGGACTCTTGAGTAGCAGATGATATACCACACACTGTACCACTAGGGCTCCTTGGCAGTAAATGCCTTGTGCCCAGACCCAACATCAGAAAACACCGATTTACCCCCAACACCACCAGGCATGTTAGGGGGCTGGAGGGTCTGTTTGTGACCAGACACAGGCACAGGCTTAGAGAGGTGCCGCGAGTGGGTATTTGAGGACCAGCCTGTGAGGATGTCACAAGGTGAGAGGGGACAGGAGCCCCTGAGGAAGACAGGACTGAGACCTCTTTGAAACCTTCGATCTCTCTTCTCTCAGGGCCTCTGGAGGCACCTGTTTGCTCGTCCCAGCTCTGGGTGGGCACCTGACTGGCCCCCAGCTAGAGGGCTGGAGGCAATCAGAGTTCCTGTCCCAGCCCGTCTTCTTCCTGGGGGCTGCAAGCCTGGGGAAATAAGGTGATTATGGGCATTGAGGAAGTAGTTATCAGTGGCGTACGCTAGGTATCCCCCCCCCAAGTCTGCGACCTGTCTGGCCTCCCAGGACAGATTCCACATGCCCCCGGGGTCCCCAGCTGAGCCAGGAACTGGGCAGACTCCTGTCTGGGCCCTCGCTGTCCTGGCTGGAAGCCAAGAGTCTAGAGCAGCTGATGCAAGTGCCTGCAAGCGTCCCTTCCTACCCGACTGGCTGACTCACGCTGCCCCATTCCAGCAGCTCCAGTCCGGGGACAGGAGGAGGCTGGGCCTCTAAGCTCTAGGATGGGAAGAGGGTGGGGAAGCTGACGTGGGCGTGGCCTAGCCCTGGTACCTCAGCGGCGGAGGGAGTTCGGGTGTGGACATGCGTGCTTCCTGGAGTCAGGGACACTGATCACTATATAGCTTCCAAGTGAGCAGTGGGTGAGGCCAAGTGACCGGACAGCGCTGGAGAAAGGCCACCACACTACTTCAGTGACAGGGTACTCAGCTCGTCATCTTAGGAAGGACCTGCCTCACTTTCTTCACCTCCGAAGTAGGGTAGGAGTGTCATGTCCTTAGTCCTGTCCTTGCTGAGCGCACTCGGTGGCATCACACACATGACGCTCA